AAATAAATTTTTGGTACGTATGCACATCTAAGGATGGGCAAGCTGCATGACATTCAATTTTTGATCCTAGGTTTAGAAATGCTTTATTGTATTGTCAAATCCTTGGGTTGAATATAGGCCCACAGTGGCAATCTGTTCACAGATAAGAAATGACAGCTTTCGCCAAGCTACTGGTCAGTGTCTAGAATGGACGTAGGAGTCAACAAAGGCAAGCCAATGTGTTTCGGGGGCTTCTAAAGTCCCCTTTTCATGGCTGAGAAGCGGTAGTTCTTAAATCTTGACTGGCTTGACTGCTATTAGTGAATTCTACTCCTCATATAAGCCAGAGGTTTAGCAGCAGTAGGACAAACCCCTCCAAACCCTCTACCTATGGGTCCAGTTCTCCTCCTTTATACTATTGGATAGATCTGGCAGCTAAGACAGACCACCCAAATGTATCTTTGACACTGGTGAGAGCTCCTGTGGCCTGCTTGGCCTCTACAGAGTTAGAAAAATTACTGGAGCCAGTGCACAAGATTTAACACCTGACCAAAGAGTGTTAAACCCCACCTATGCCATTTAAATTCTAGAACATCAGTGGCCTATAGCGGCTTTGGCATTTGACCGTTGGATGATGGGGTATCACTAAGAAGCAGGAGGTATAGGTCTTAATCTTGATTCAAGAGAACCAGAACCCATACAAGTCCAGGATCTACAGTCAGAAGGAGCTTATCTGAAGACAACAGCAGATATTTGTACTTAGACCCTACGAATAATGGGATTTTATACACTTTGGTGGACAGGTCAAGTAAACTTTAAGAACACAACTTGTTACAATGCATTAGTAGATCTAAAATATACATATCAGAAAAAGGCACAACAATTTTATTTTTCTGGAACTTGTACCTGGTTAGGTATATTCCTACAGCAACTTGACCTTGGCTCTTCTGCAGCTTTTGTGCAAGGATCATCTTGCGTCCCACACGAGCAGCTGTGGGGTTTTGTCACCGCGTGAGACCTCTGGTGGTCTCCTTCGTGATCTTGGCTGCCGGTGTGGGAGAATCCCTCGTCGGAGGAAAAGTTCTGTAAATCCAGCTCTGTGCATTCCACAGGCGCGTGAGACCAGTGCTGGCGCTCCGAAGCACAGGAGTGAGCTTGCTTGCTGGGCTCTGCTGCTCCTTGGCTGTATTCGGTGGCAGGCCCGCATCCTGAGAAACAGTCGCTGCAGCCCGAGTTACGGATCAAAGGTTGGGTTTCCGAGACGCTCCAGTTGTACTTGGGTTTAGCGAGGGGAGGAGGGAGGGCACACAGCTCCACGGAGGGTGGGAGTAATGCACTGGATGCCAGGCACGGGCTGGGCGAGACAACGTCGGAAATCACGTGGACTTCTTCAACTGGTCCTGTTATCAAATCAGAACCAATATCATTTAAATAGTTTAAAGCTTGACTCCAGACATGCACAGATAAAATACATATATAGGAGTTGTGTTACCTGGCAAAGAAATCTCAGTCCTGAGATTCACCCACTTTGCCAGATGGATGACACCACCTACAGATAAGGAAAACAATGGTGTCCTCTCTCCATCATCCAGCCCGCTAATTGGACAGTGAAGTAGCAGAAGGAGATTGAGGACCCCCCTAATCTTTCCTCTTGCTCCAGTAACTTTACATAACGTATCCCTGGACAGCTGAGATGCAGACCCCAACAAAGATGGAGACTTACACACCTATGCTCCGGTTGAACCACTGTATAGGTTCTCCAATTTTTTAAACTGACCCAAGCCATTCCTCTTTGTATGCCATCTAACACTACCAGTACATAGAACCTGGTAAAAGTTATTTATTGCTCCTTCTCCAGTGATGCAACTCTCTAGCAATCCTTAGATAGCAGCTGTGAAAACTCAGACTGGAACTGTTGATGGTAAAGCCAATAATTAAAGTCTGTATGGATGCAATGACCCCATCCTTTCTTTACCGATTGGTTGGAACTATTATATATTTTTCTGTTGGCTGTGGTCAGCCTTGCGGAGTGGTACTTATGGGTACCATCATTTTCTGCCTATGGGTGACTTATAAGTATCTCTTGATAGATCACACAACATAAATTCCAGCTTACCTGCCACTTGTCCAGAGGTGTCTGCGGATCCAAAACAGAATGAAGGGATTGGCTGCTCCTCACAGGGGCTGCTCATAGACTCCAACTGTCTGGCTAATCTTCTTGGCTGGCCCGCAATAGCTTGCGATCTTTGGAAAGCTGGAGAAGGACATTCAGAAATTAGTATCAGATGTGTTATGCAGAATCTTTGTTTTATTACATGATTTGATTTTTTTTTTGGGGG